GCGCACTTCGAAATTGATCTTCAAGCATGGGGAGAAATTGGAATAAAATGTCCTGCAATGTTGGCACCTGTACAGACATCTGCATACTTTCCCCAAATTCTAGAAGTCAACATTGAAGTTGCTGGAACAGCTTGCCTTGAAAACTCTAAAAAAAATAATTGCGAAATTAACTAAAAACATTTGCTGCTACATACTTAAGAAAATGAATGAATTCCTACCTGTGCGAAAACTCTACGTTTTATTTGGGTGCGAATGAGGAGGTCAAAAAGGTGTTTCCCATTTCTTCAATCACGATCAGCATTTCTCCCGTTAATGTGACTGCTTCTACTCCTCTTTCGACTGTCTTGCTGTCGAGGGGATAAACTTTGATAAGAAGATCACTTATCACGTTTTCATTAACAGATACCTATGGGCATAAAGTAAATGTGTTGGATGCAGACCTAGGGGAGTTTGATATGGTCAATGAAGATGAGAACGTAAGATGGCTTTTAATCATCAGAACTACGACAAGGCTACAATCCAATTTAATGTAGATAAAAATCTCTGCGATACTAAATGAAGATCAATGTACACTTTGAATGATGCTACGCTTCCAATGTCTGAAATATCTCCTTCAGAGTTGGAATTGAAGCATCTTTCTGCAGAACATATACAATTCCTTTTGGTGGTGCTGCTGACACTGTCTGCTTCACAGCACGTCCTCAAATCTGTTGCGGCTCATCACCATCTCGCTTAATTGAGAAGAGCAAATAACATTCCATTTACTTACTCTTTTCCTTTGTATTTGTCGAAGATCTCCTGAATAATCAACGTTTATCTACGAAACGACTTGCAGACTATAACATTATCAATGTCTTCGCGATCACGGGGAGAGCTACGGGAACCCACAAATATGCCTTAATTTGGCCAGGACGTCCCACGAGAGCAATTTAGCAGATCATCCGTTTTATTCCCTAGGAAGGTCTAGGAGTTGAAATTGCATCAATCAAGTCTTAATCGTGCAGTTGAAGATTAAAGTTATGCAATGCATAAGGCGTACAAAAAGTGAAGTAGACAAGTGGACAGGTGAAAACAAACCATCGTGGCAGCCCAGTGGTTCTTATTTCAGCCAACAATGTCTGGAGGGGACGTGTATTTCTCAACATGCTGACAAACAGACGAGTCGAAAAATAAACTGTGTTTAACTTTTACGAAAAAAATTTCATTTGGAAATACGTGTGATACTCTTGCAAAGGCAACAGCTGGGGCCTCAATAGGTAAATTTTCTACCCATTCTTTAAGTAATGCCACAGAAGTGAGACCCAAGAAAAATTCAGACACAAAAACATCGGAATATTTTAAGTTACTTCTAAAATGCTTATTACTCAGGTAGTGTTGTTATGCCCTGTTGAAACAAATGGAGACGAAGTTGGAATGACTTCTGGACATTAAAACGTGAGGATAAATTATCCAAAAAATGAAAAATATGTGTAAACAGAGGGGACGAAACATTGAAACGTCATTGTCTAGGCATTTTAATTCAATGGTGATGCTGTCCTACTACCTGGTAGAGGCAAATCCATCCTCGGCCTACTCCTCACTCAGATTACAGAGCCGATTATTCACAATCATAAAGCAGAAGGGGATGAAAAGCTCTCCTAATGGCCAGCCAAGCACAGATGGAATCAAGAAATTGCGTATGTAAGGGCAAATGTATCTGCCGTCCTCCCTTAAAGGCACCCTAAATTTTCTATTAATTCTGCATCCCGTACACACACTTCCCTTAGGCAGAAGGAGAAGATGACATTCGCTACAGTTGTCGCGTCGAGCGACTGTCTTCGCTCTTGCCATCTCACACATTACCGAACCAGACGGGATTGTGTATAAAACTACTACGATTGCCACCCAATGTGCCAAAAGCACCCTCCTTTGATGCTCTCAACCAATGCTCTTTGCACACAGTTAACAGAGAATGAAACGCATTTTTAATATGTGGCTGGAGGACTTTGCGACTTTTGACGCAAATCCTGCAACGAAGTGGATTCAAGTCAATTCGTTTCGCTCAGCCAGGTCACATTTTGGGTTACATTTGCACCAGAACTTATGTGTTGGGTGAAATACAGTTCTGTTTGCCGAATCACCGACTTACCATTGTGCTTTTACGGAAAAATAATGCATTTCCGGTAATAAGTAACGAAAAATTCAATGCACCAGCATATACAAGTTGTCATTACAACGAGACTAAGTTGAGGTACGCATATTACTGGCTTCGCTAACGACTTCGGGCGGATTTTGAACGCCTAAAACGTCGAAGAAAGGAATCCTACAGTTTAATTAACATGACTTTTCTTATGGTTTCCTTTTTATGGAGTGCGTAATTCTAAATTATGATTGCGCGTAATTAAATGAGGCAAATTGGCTATACCGCCTAACCGCCATTTTTAACGACGCTCTGGAGACGAATAGTAGATGGGAGTACTTAATGGCTTGCATAATATTTGATGGTTTTAGTAAAGTTGCCTCACGGAAATCGGTAAATGACTTGCCCCAAAAGAAGAACCAATTTATTGTCCAACTTGGAGTAGTTATAGCAGTCCACAACTACCCGAAAGCCCTTTCTCCTGTCTCACTTCCCATCACCTACTGGTTATCTTATCTACAACTTTCCCCTCATCCCATAGAGATGAACTGTCACTTATAAAGGAGGGCGAACATTAAGGCTACCATGAGAAATGCAGGACCGTAAAGCGGTTCAACGATGGTGAGGCTAGAAGGGACACCCTCTCGACCATACAGAAAGAAGTGGTACAATTGTAGTTTAAGGTAAGGACGAAGAGATAGTTCTCGCCTGTGCGGTGTTCCCCGCCTCACCACTCCACGGCAAGACAACCCAGAAAGTCGATCCGTACCTGACAGCTCCACAAACAGCGTATCGCGTCAAGGCCAAGATAAAGTCTGCGTCCTTTTACTGGACACCCAACTGTCTTGGTTGTTTTGGTCAATTCAACTGCTACTCAAGAAACAGAAAAATGTCATTTAGGCTCTGACCAGGAAGGCTTTAATCAGATAAATTTGGTCAGAATTTGCCTAGTACTACTGTGGCGTTGGCACAGCCAAGTTGATAGTCTTACATGCGGCTATGCTAACAAAATAATTTAGGACATTAAAAGGCTAAAAA